CCCCCAAAAAAAAAAAATAATAATAATTCAAACGTTGGTCAAAGTTGGTCAAAATGGAACTGATATTTGCTTAAAATTGAAGGTAAAACTCGGAAAATTTTGGTCAAAGTTTGGGGTAAAAGATGGTCGAAGTTGCTCAAAGTTATGAAATGGTTCGCAATTTTAACACTTTTAAAGCTTTTGTTATGCTTGCGGTGAAAAAATTGGAAGCCTTGCTTATCTTGGTCGAGAAATATTGAATATGCTTATGTTAGTCCGGAAAAATTTTTTTTGACCCCGATCGACAACGCACCGGGAAAATTTGTGCGACGGTCCAAATCACACAAAATATTAGTCAAAAACATGACAACCACAATGTTATGTTGATGGCTTTGCGACGTCCCTGGTAAAGTATTACAGTTCACATTTAATTTGAATGGTTTTGTAGATGGAAATTATTAGGGATGAGCCGATAAGGAAAATTGCCGATTACTGAGGCCGATTATTTAAAGGCAGATTATCGTAACTAATATTAATCGGCCGATTAATCGGTATCTGGCTACCTGCCGATTATTTTAAAAAGCAAAATTACCAACAATGAAATTGTTGAATTGGTGAACTGTTTGCATGTTTTTCTTCGTCTGCTGATTACGATTTGAGAACTTTTTTCCTGGCAAACTTTGTTTTGTTGTTATCTTCCAAAATATGTCCATACTGCGCTTTTGACAGCGTCCGAGCAATTTTCTGAGCAATTTTCCCCCCTGCATTTTATTACAAATATCAGGATTATATTCGTTTAAGCCAATCAGAAAACAGAACATGGTATGACTCAATGCATAGGAATGCGTTGGTGGGTTTACATAACTGTTTTTTTAATGATTTCCTCAAGCCACTCACATGAGACAAAAGACGCCGGTTTTTGCAACAAAATGTGAAAATCTATTCCCTTGTATTCATTATTTTAGCATGTGCTTGGCAGCTGCAGAAAAAGTCTTATGGTCGATTATTTGTCGATTATCAGGCAATAATCGGCCGATTACCGATTATTTAAAAAATGTCCGATTAATCGGCTTAAGTGTATATTTAAAAAACATTTATTAATTAAACCTAACCTGGAACAGCTGCAAAAAATACAACTATACCGTAAACCTCTGACTATAAGCCCTGGGCTTATATACTTTCGTAAGCGATTTTTGATGGGCTTATACAGGGAGTGGGGGCTTATATACGGGTGGGCAATATACATGGACGATCTTTTGTGTTAGTAATAAACAAGTCAGACATAAACAAGTCAGTCATAAGTTAGAGTTATAAACCGAGTAGGAGGTTTATAACTGATATATTGCCCCCGAGGGCAATATATCAATTATAAATCGACTTTCGAGGTTTAGAACTAACTTATATCACATTTGTGGAGGTTTTCTAACATATTTTGTCATTTTCAAAAATTTTTAATGAAAAATTCTCGCGTTTTGTCTGCAAGTTTAATCTAATCATTTATTCAAGGTATATAAGCTAGTTATAAACCTCGGACGATCAAAGAAAACCGACACAAATGTGATATAAACAGGGAAATAAACGTGTATTAAGCAGGGCATGTAGTAAAACACTGACTACCGGAACACCGGAACACCACCGGAACACCGCCGGAACACCACCGGAACACCGGAACACCACGTAACCCTAACCCCAACCCTAACCCCCAACCCTAACCCTAACCCTAACCCCAAACCCTAACCCCAAACAAAATGGTGGTGTTCCGGTGTTCCGGTGTTCCGGTGGTGTTCCAGTGTTCCGGTAGTCAGTGTTTTACTACATGCCATTAAGCAGCGATTACTGGGCTTATATTAATTGGGGGACTTATATTCGGGGGGCTT